CGGACGCGCGTGGAGCCCGGAGCTCCGCTCACGGCGGCCGCCCAACCACGCACAAAGTCTCCCAGGGAGGGCCAACATGGCGACGAGCTCGCCTTGGCACGGCCCGCTTCCCTCCTCGCGAGGGGCGGCCCGAGGGCGGTCATTGGCCAGGCTGGGGGCGGTGCCAGGCCCCTGCCGCCCCCTCATTGGCCCGGGCTCCGGAGGGGGAAGCCTGCCCTCCTCTCCCCGCTCCAAGTTCCAGCTTGCGCCTCTTCCTCGGCGTCTAATTGGCTGGCGGTTCGTGTCAATTTGCGTCCTGTTCCGGCTCTCCTCCGCCGCCGGCCAATCACAACTTCCGTAACTGCCCGCCTGAGCCCTGATTGGTCTCCGCAGCTTGATCCCATCCCATTCCGGCCTATTTCTTACTCGCCTCCTAAACGGACTTTGCCCAGGCATGCCCGAGGTTCTAATTGGTCGTCGTGCTGTCATTCCGACCTACGCCCTCCCAATCGCCACCGCTCACGGAGCCCGCCTGGCGGTTGACTGGTCCCTCCCAAAGTCGATCGTCTTCCCGTCCCGCCCATCGCCGCTTCCCGGCTCTCTCATTGATCGCGCAAACCGAGAGGGCGGTCGCTCTGGGCGGACACCGCGCACGCAGCTCGGCCTCACACGCCTGAGCGAGGGATCGAGTCCTGCCATTGGGTGGCCTGCCCGCCTTTCTCCCGCAAGTCCCGCCCTCCTCCCTCCCTCATTGGGCGGGGCGGCAGATAAGGGGCGGAGATTAGGCCGGGCTTGTGGCGCGCTGCTCCCTCCTCCTTACCCCCCCCTCCCTGTCCGGTCCGGGTTCGCTTGCCTCGTCAGCGTCCGCGTTTTTCCCGGCCCCCCCCAACCCCCCCGGACAGGACCCCCTTGAGCTCGCCCCTCAGCTGCCACCATGAGCGGTAAGGAGGAGTCCACTCCGCGCCTAGGGGTGGGAGGGGAGTGAGGGGGCGCGCGCGAGGGCCGACCGGGCGGTCCCCGCTGTGAGGGGGGGCGGGCGGGAGGCGGCGGCGGCGGCCTTGGTCCCGCCCGGGGCGGAGGGAAGGGAGGGCGAAGGGGCTGTGGCGGGGCCTCGGAGGAGGAGGGGGATGGGCCACCCGCCCCGGGGGAGGGGGCAGCGGGGCCTCGCCCGCCCCCTGCCCGCCCCGGCCACGGGGGACGGGCCTCACCCCCCATTGCCCGGCCGGCCGCCTGAGGCTCCTCCCGTCGGGGGCCGGCGCCGCGGGGGCGGCCCGACCAGTGCAGGCCCCGCCTGGGCCAACCGCCTCCCCGGTCCGCCCTCCGGTCGCCGCCTGCCCCGGGCCCTCCCCCGCACCCCCGTGAGTCTCCCTTCCCCCCGCCGGCCCGCCCTTTCCACGCCCCTCACCCCGAAGCCGCCCCTTCCGCGGAGGGCCCGCCCCTCCGCCCCAAGCCCGGGTTCTAAGCCCTGGACCACCTTAGCCCCTTACCTGTGCTCTCAGATGGCTCCCCATCTGCCCCTGTGAGCTGCTTTTTCCTCTTCCCTTCCTGTTTTGTCAGTTTTGTGCGTTTGGGTGTTCTCCATCTCTCCTG